GGGCAATCCTACTTCCGTAGTGATACTGCCTCGGAAACCCAAGGAGGGGTCGCTATGAGTCGGGGCCGACTCCACGGCACATAACAACAACAACAACAACAAATATGTTGTAGGAGCTCTGGTAGCGTAGTTCCTAAGGCACTTGACTGCTAGCCAGAAGGCTGGTGGTTCAAACCCACCAGCCACTCCTCGGAAGGAAGGCTGGGCAATCTACTTCCCTAGTGATAGTGCCTTTGAAACCCAAGGAGGGGTTGCTATGAGTCGATCTGACACATAACAACATAACAACATAACAACAACAACAACAACAAATATGTTGTAAATCATAGCCTATGAATGTAATCAGGAGCTCTGGTAGCATAGTTCCTAAGGCACTTGACTGCTAACCAGAAGGCAGTTGGTTCATACCCACCAGCCACTCCTTGGAAGGAAGTTTGGGCAATCTTACTTTCGTAGTGATACTGAGACCCAAGGAGGGCTCGCTATGACTCCACAGCACATAATAACAACAACAACAAGGAATGTAATCACATTTAAGAATAAGTTTTTCTTTGTTATGTTAACTAGGCCTTATCAGTGTAGACTGTGTCTTAAATCGATCACTTTTGAGATTTAAAGGAGCAGATTAGGCAGAGAAGGAAGCAGACACAGGAGGAAGAGGGATGTTATCTAAAGGCTATGGAGGGAGATCAGTCTGAAAGCTCGGGAGCTGTAAGCATGGCTGGCTGGAGAAGCCAGAGCAGACAGAGCAGCCTTCCCCTAGAGATGGTACCCTCAATCCAGACTCCAATCCTCCCCAGCTGTGAGAAAATAAACTTCCTTGTTAAAGCTACGAGAAACTAAGACAAGGGTGCTGTCAATCAGGGCTTGAAGATAATGTGATTGGAAACAGGAGGAGAATGGATCCTTGTTTTGTGAAGGCAGAAAGTTTAGTAACATTGTCATCTGTGATGACATGAAAAGTAGGAAATGTATCTAGTGACAGTGGGAGTCTAGCTAAGGAGATTTGCAAGCATATGATTTCTTCGCTGCTTATCAAAAACGTGATTTGAGAGAAAAAGCTAAAAGAAGGACTGTTCAGTACTTGCTAGTTTTAATAATTCACCCTCTCTAAATGCTGAAAGTGAAGATGATGTGAAGCACTTTGTGATTAAGATTGAAGACTACAGTCTGCCATATGGATTACACCTCAACAAAATGAAAACAAAAATCCTCACAACCAGACCAGTAAACAGCATCATCATAAATGGAGAAAACATTGAGGTTATCAAAGATTTCATTTTAGTTGAATTCACAATTAATACCCATGCAAAACAGCAGCCGTGAAATCAGATGTCATATTGTGCTGGGAAAATCTGCTGCAAAAGACCTCTTTAAAGTGTTGAAGAGCAAAGATGTAGCTTTGAAGACTAAGGTATACCTGACCCAAGCCATGATAGTTTCAGTCACCTCATATGCATGTGAAAGCTGGACAAGGAATAAGGAAGACTGAAGAAGAATTGATGCCTTTCAATTGTGGTGTTGGCAGAGAATACTGAAAATATTGTGGACTGCCAGAATGAACAGATCTGTCCTGGAAGAAGTACAGCCAGAATGCTCCTTGGAAGCGAGAATGGCCAGACTTTGTTTCAACTACTTTGGTCATGTCAGAAGGGACCACTACCTGGAGAAGGATAACATGTGGTAAAGTGGAGGGTCAGCAAAAAAGGGAAAGACCCTCAACAAGATGGATTGACACAGTAGCTGCAACGATGGGCTCAGATATAGCAAGGATTATAAGGATGGTGCATGACCAAGCAGTGTTTTGTTCTGTTCTATGTAGCATTACTATGAATAAGAGCTGACTCAATGGTATCTAACAACAACAAGAAGTGGATAATGATGCTAAAATTAACAAGTAGTTTCCAGATAAAAATAATATCCATGGCACTGCCATGACAACATAACATAAATATGAAACTGAATGTATAGTTTTAAAATCTTTTGTATGAGCTTAGAAATATCTAAGGCAGTAACTCAAAGAACTACTCAACCAGACAATGGGTTTTCCGAAATGCTTAAGGGTGTTGTCCCTGTTCAGCGGGACAACAGCTTATACCACAGAAATTTTTAAGTGTAGCTTTTGTCTATGAGACACACTTCAGTAGGATACAGCAGAGAGCTATAAATATTTTTAGGGAAACATACTGGCCAAAGACCACCAGCTTGGACTGAAAGGTACAGAGGCTGCATGAAATGAAGATACCTTTGGAATCCCAGACTTCTTCAAGCAGGAATCTTTCTGAGAAAATGACTCTCAACTTCGAACATGGACAGCCTTTAATGGAAAAGGAATAATGACCCAGTGGGGAGAAGCATTAATCCAGAATGCAGAGCCAAGAGCCACAGAGAACTGCCAACCTGGACCCTGATGCATTTCACAGTTGCTTTGAGTCAGAATTGACTTGATGGCAGTGGGTGGTTGGTAGTTAATATGAGATGGGGTGGGGGTAAGGACAGATAAAATTGTCCCTTTAATTCATATGTCTTCAGATTGAGAGGAATTATACTCAAAAAAGTTGTCCTTAAGGAACCACATTTGAGGAAACTCATCTACAACTGGAGTCCAGATGAGATTCTGGACTTCAAGCTACACTATAATAGGATAAGACTTTTGGGGCTTTGGGAAGGGGTAAGTATATTTCATTGGGGACCAGAGATTGTGTAGTATCCAGTCTCCAAGATAGCCCCCAATGACCCTCACCTCCTAGTATTAATGCCTTGTGGATCTCCTTTAAGGCTTGAATCATGGCTACCCTTCTGGGCAGTAGAATATTGCAGAAGTGATTGGTGTGTGACTTCTGAAGCTGGGTCAGTAAGACATGGGGCTTCTGCCTTGCTCTCTAAGATTTCTTGCTTTGGAGGAAGTCAACATGTCATGAGGACACTCAGGCAACTGGTGAAGAATCTCATGTGGGAAGGTACTGGGGCCTCCTGCCAACCACTAGCACCAACTTGACAACCATGTGAGTGAGCCACTTTGGAAGTGGATCATCAGCCGTAGTCAAGCCTCAGATGGCATCTTGATGAGACACCCCAGCCAGAACTACCAGCTAAACTACTCCCAAATTTCCAACTTACAGAAAATGTAAGATAATAAATGATAATTATTGTTTTAAGCCAGTATATTATGGGATAATTTGTTATGCAGCATTAGAGAGCTAATATATAACCTTTATTAAAATCTAATGTAAAAATGATGCTGAATAAATATGCTACAATAAATTATATTTTGTAAAAACATATCAGCATGTCTTTTTTATTTATTTTGTTTCCCTACTAAATATTAAAGTTAAGATAGCACTATATTTCATTATATTTAATTTTCTGCTTATAAAATCTAAAAGTAGAAGCTTTATTAAATATCATTTTTAACAAGGACATTGGAATGAGAGTTCTAGATATTACATGGTATTAATTTTTCAAAGCAAAAGAAGTATTCACAACCAGTATTCACAAATCAGTGAAGAAATTAATTCAGTAAACAAGGAGCTATACATCCAATAATTTTCATTTGATTCACACACCAGAAAGATAAGATAAAAAACATATTTAAAATAAAGTTATGAATGGAAATGGTAAACACATGGAGGAAGTGGGAAGAGTGCTGTTCTATTGTGAGGATTACAGTCAATGTCACAACACAACACGTATATGGATCGTTGAATAGAAAGCAATTTGCTCTGTAAATTTTCATTCAAATCACAATAAAATTTAAAATAAATAAACAAAATGAGACCTTTTGCAAGTATATATTGAATATCTACTATAAACTTATTTTGAATTTTTATAGTAAATGCAAAATAAGGCATAGTTTCTTATAATTTTGTTAGAAAGCAAAAAGGTATCAAATACTAAAACTTTAGTAAAAATTAAAGGTTCATAGTGATACTGCCTCAGTAACCTAAGGAAGGGTCTCTGTGAGTCACATCCAACTTGATGGCAGTGAGTTTGGTTTGGCTTTGTAATGTTGTTGTTGTTGTTATGTGCCGTCAAGTCGGGTTTTGTAATAGTTGGTTAAATACATTCAGAATTCAGAAATCAGGAGAAATGAAACTGAAGTAGAGTTGTTAGGTATTCATAAAGATGGTTTCAGTAACTAGATAAATGTCACTTGATTGAACTTTGGAATCTGGTAAGGGTAGAGCAAAGTTCTGCTAACATGAATCTCTATGTGGATTTATGATATTTATAAATCGCAACCTTTCCTTTTAAAAAAACATTTATCCACACAGGCCTTCAACATTGGAACCTTTGATAGTATTGAGAATATAGGACTTGCTGGGTAGGTAGTAAGGAGCTCTGGTGGCATAGTGTCTAAGGCTAAACAGAAGGTTGGCAGTTCAAACCCATCAGCCACACCATGGAAGGAAGACTGGGCAATCTACTCCCATAAAGAAGTACTGCCTTGTAAATCCAAAAGGGGTCACTGTGAGTCAAAATAGACTCGATGGCAGTGAGTTTGGTTTGGTTTTTTGGGAAGGAAGGTTGGGCAACCTACTTCCGTAGCGATTCCACCTCAGAACCCAAGGAGGAGTCGTTATGAGTCAGGTTCAACTCGAGGGCAGTGTGTTTGGTTTGGTTTTGTTAGTAGGTGGATAGTAAATCGAGTACTGGTTAGTACCAGTGTGAGACTGCATATAAATTCCATTTCTACTCCTTATAAAAACTGTATGACCTTTAGTAAATTGTCTATGTCTTAGTGTTCTCA